TGGGGTGGGGTGGGGTGGCTCTTTCAGGAGGTCTCTCTGCTCCTGAACTCCTGCTGCTTTTCCTTTCCTCCACAGCAGCTTTTCCCTGCTCTCCCCCATGGGGAGCCATTAAACTGCACAGCCAAAGCCATGCCAGGGATCCACCACTCTGTGCTGAAGTGGTGCCTCAGTGTCCCCAGGTGTTAAGTAGAATGAATGGTGATGCCAAGCACAAAGTGTTGATGCTCTTTTTCCTCCTCCTTCTTCCTCCAGACCCACAACCCTTTATATAAAGAGGCCACATCCACCTTCACCAACATCACGTACCGGGGGAACAACTAAGGATGCCACACCCAGCGCTGGCTGTGGGATCAGCCAAGGATCCATGGAACCTTAAGGAGTCCAGTTTACAGAAGCCCTTGTGTGTGTGAGCCTGTGTGAACGTGTCTGTGTGTAATTTAACACCCCCTTGACTGCCTCCAGGCCCTCCAAGTGTTGTCCATCACCCCTCTGTGACTGCAGGGACGTGCTCTCCAGGCAAACCTCGGTCCTTACCTCGCGGGTCGCTCGCGGAGCCGGCGGCCCCTCCATACACTGGACACAGAGAAATGGGACTTTCTCTGCCAGTCTGTGAACTCTTTGGTGCTCATCGGGCCAAGGGGACTTCAGGAGTGGCCACTCAAACCACACTGAGCTGTTTTCTCCTCCACGGCCCGTGCTGGTGAAGCCCTGCCTGTCGGATCACTGGACTCAGTCCCGCTGGGCACAGGAGCCATCTCCTTGGGCACAGGGCAGCTGCCAGCAGGCAGGAGCCATCACTGCTTTGTGGGTTCAGGACACTGCTTCTGAGCAGCCCAGCAACCCCTTTCCTCCTTGCACCCCCGTGTTCTGGCACTGCTGTGAGCCAGGGTGGTGAGAAGCTGTGCCCTCCCTCACTGCCCCCACGTGCACTCGGTTTGCACCCCCAGCACCTCCATGTAGCACCAGCTGTGCTGGTCCCAGCCACAGCCTGGCTCAGCCCCTGGGATGGTGCTGAGCTCCCCATGTCCCCCCTCACTGTCCTCATGCCACAGCCCACATGGATGTGCAGGCAGCAGCCTCGGGAGCTCATGATGCCCCTTATTCCTCAGGCCTGGCCACCTCTCTCCCCTCTGTGTTTTCTGAGCTGTGTAACTGCACCCTGCCTGGTTTTCTGCACAGCTCAGGGTTCCAGCAGAGCAGGCAGGGCTCAGGCTGTGTCCTGCTGCCTGGGGCTGTGTGTCACCCGTGGGGGAAAACAAAGAGATGTCCCAGTTTGGCTGTAGCAGTGCTGCTGCCTGGTCCCTGCCCTGCCAGAGCACAGTGGCTCAATTCCCCTCAGCTGCCCCAAAAACCAGCAGCAACCTCGGGCCCGGTGTGGGGTTTGCCCCGAGGGCCCCAGCAGAGTGTTGGCTGAGCTGGTGGTGGCCCTGTGTCCCTGTCCCCTGGCTGTCCCAGCAGTGTGGGAGCAGGGGCAGGGCTTGGTGCTGGGTGGGATCTGGGGCTGAGCCCCAGGGAGGGGGGTGGATGGGCAGCACCAGAGCGGCAGCAAATCGCACCACAAAAATAAAAATAACTAAAACAAACCCCCTCAGACTACTCATGGTGTCAGTGTCCCCAGCAGCAGCCTTCCTGCCCCATGGGCTGCCCCTGGCACCCCAGTGTGACTCGGGGAGCTGGTTTGAGCTGAGGTGGGTTGAAGGATGGTTCCCACTGGCTGTTAGCCCCCCACAGGGGCTTCTGCACCATAACTCCTGTATTCCTGGGGGTTGATAACAAGCTGGGGGCACACAGTGGGCCAGAGCCCACTGCAGACTGTGGTACTGGCAGCACCTCAGTTCACTGTGAGGGAGTGGGGTGAGCCCCAGTAACCCCCATCCTGCCCCACAGGTCCCTGTGAGCCCTCCAGTGTGCAGGAGAAGCCCCTAGAGCAGGGCAGCTGGGCTGGGACCACTGCAGGACCATCCCAGAAACAGCAGGGATCTGGAGGGGGTGAAGGGGCTAAACCTGGGAGCAGGGTCCTGCCTGTTCCCCCAGCACCCAGTCTGGCCCCATGTCACACACTGCTGTGGGGACAGCCTGTGGTCACCCTTCAAACCAGCATTTTGGGACCACAGAAAGTTCTGGAAAAACTGTTTGCTTGACTCTCTGACACCCTCCACACATACCCTGGGCCACCAGGTGCCCCCAGCCCACACAGGGTGAGCAGGCACCTTGGGGCAGCTCTCGGTGTCTCCAGCTGAGCTGGGTGTGTGAGTCCAGCACCCAGGTGGGACCTGGGCTGGGGCTGGGGGTGGTTCAGCTGGGTTTGACCCCAGGAGGGGCATTTTGGCAGCAGGGTGAGGTGAGAGAAAGGTGAAGGGAGAGCCTGGCTGCAACACGAAGGAGCAGGATGAGCTTCCACTGGAGAAACCCCTACAATTCCATGGCTGCCATTCAGGCAGAAGAGTTCCCTTTCCCACGGAGCTGTGGGATGAGACAAGACCCCAGTTTAGCTCAGTTCACTGCCCCTCGATGCCACTGGCCGTGACTGCTTGCAGGATCAAGCCCACGACCATAAGAAGCAGTTGTTGGGAGTCTGGAGTGGCTTTTCCCCCCAAAATCAAGGCAGTGTCGCTGTGCTGGCCGGAGGAAAGGAGTGTGAGCAGCCAGAGGTGGGACAAGGGTGGGGGCAGTGGCTGCTCTCAGCTCCTTGGGAGGAGCCATCGGGGAGCGGTAGTAACTCCAGCCCTGCTGAATGTGCAAATTTTGGGCTGCGTGGAGGCTGTTGGAGTCGGGCACCGCTAGATGGTGATGTCTGTACGTGCTCTGTCAGAACCTTCCAGCTTTCTGGGCTGCTCAGTGCCCAAATCCCGCTTTGAAGAGGGACACTTCCCCCGTGGAGGTTTCCAGGGAGCAGGGACACGCAGAGACCCACCCTACAGACACAACTCCTGCAGCAACACTTCGTCCCAGGGTTCTTTTAAATGCTACTTTTATTCCTGAGGCGCTGACATGCTCCCTCTTCTTGGAGCCCAGGAATGCATCAACTCCTTTTGTAAACTGATTTCTGTAAATAAACCCAAAATGAGCGAATGCATCTCCTGATGCACCCAGGAGACAGTTTAAGGTGCACTTTGTGCCATCCTGTGCCACCCCAGGACTGGGCTTTCTGTGTCCCTAGGAAATTTTCTGAAATGAAACACATTTCCCCACTGGTTCTAGGGAAGTTGGTCAATGCTGGGACAGAGTTTCTCCCATCCCAATGGAAATCCACTTCCCAGACCAGAACTGGAAGGACATGGCTGTGGATGGTGAATATATGGGCACTTTGGGATCTTTGTTCAGGATCTGGAGCATCTGCTGGGCAGGAAGATTAAGATCTGGGGACAATGAGGAGAAAGAGCTGGAATTAAAAACAAAAAGCTGACATTTCCCAGGGCACAAAATCCCAGAATAATTCAGGTTGGAAAGGACCTCAGGAGGTCTCTAGTCCAACTTCTTGCTCAAAGCTAGGTCAGGTGTGAGATGAAGCTGAGTTGCTCTGGGATTTATCCATTATGGGATCTCCTGGGCTGTAAAGGAGTCAGGATTAGTCTGGGATGAAAGTGTCACCACTAGGAGAAAGCTGGGACATCCAGCCTACATCTGGACAAAAAGGCCCTGGTTTGGGAAGCAGTTTTGGGGTGAGATTCTCTAAGGTCACCAAATCCTTTGTGGATACGAGAGTTCTCAGTGTTGTAAACTGGCCTTTGGGTGAGACATTTAAAGCTGCAGCCAAGAGACTCCCTGTAAACCCTTGCTGGAATTTGGGCTCCCCTTCCTCAAACATATCTGCTGAGAGAATTGGGATTGTTCAGCCTGGAGAAGAGAAGCTTTGGGGTGATCTAATTGTGGCCTCCCAGTGCCTGAAGGGAGGCAACAAGAAACATGGAGAGAGACTATTTCCAAGGGCCTGGAGTGATGGGACAAGGGGGAATGGCTTCCCACTGCCAGAGGGCAGGGTTAGATGGGATATTGGGAAGGAATCCTTCCCTGTGAGGGTGGTGAGGCCCTGGCACAGGCTGCCCAGAGAAGCTGTGGCTGCCCCTGGATCCCTGGAAGTGTCCAAGGCCAGGTTGGACAAGGCTTGGAGCCACCTGGGCTGGTGGAATGTGTCCCTGCCCATGGCAGGGGATGGCACTGGATGGTTTTTAGGGTCTCTTCCAAGCCAAACCATCCTGGGATTCTGTGATTTTTCCCACTGTCACGAGGAGGCTTCTGGGTCTCTGCAGCTCCTGCTCAGCCCACGTGTGTCTGTGCAGAGAGTGTCACACATGTCTGTGCAGAGGGTGTCACGTGTGTCTGTGCACAGGGTGTCACACATCTCTGCATGGGGTGTCACACATCTGTCTAGGGGGTGTCACATGTGTCTGTGCACAGGGTGTCATGTGTGTCTGTGCAGAGAGTGTCACACATCTGTGCATGGGGTGTCACACATGTCTGTGCAGAGGGTGCAGCGTGGAGGGAGGTGAGGGGTGATGAATGGCCGTGGAAAGGGAATTTAATCCTCCTTGGCCTCAGCATCCCACCCTGCCAGAGGGGAGGGAGTTTCACTGCATTATTGTGGCTACAGTCCTTTAGATCCTGAGAGGGAAGGAGTGGGGGAAAGGCAAAGGAGTCGCTATTATTATTATTAATAACCTCTTTTTGGCAGGTCTCTCTGCACTCACTGCCAGCAGGCAGAGGAGCTTTCCAACACTTTCCTGTTACAGAGGACACGGCCACTGTGGATAATCTGGGCTCTGACCTGGTCATGTTGGAGAACCACTTGACCTCAGAGCCACTGGAGGTGCCAAGTCTGGCTGCTGTGGGTGGTGTCTCCCTGGCTGCCCTTTCACTGTCATTCCCAAGGCCTGAAATCTCCCTGGAGAGCCAGTCCCTGCTGCTGGCAACACACCCTGCTCCATTCAAATATTTCCCAGGCCCTTCCTCAGGGTACAAAAGTGACACCCAGGACCTCAAACCCAGCCTGGGCTCCACAGCCAGAGGGGTTCACCTGCCCAGCAAGGGGAAGCTGGAAGCCTTAGGACACAGGGAGGTAAGGGGAGGTTCTGAGGTCTTTTTCCTTGGAGGAAGCCTAGAAACCTCTGGAAACCAGCAGATGAGTTCAAAGGCTCCTGCATGCCTGGGCTGGTGCGTGTCAGGTGACGAGGACAGGATGTGAACACCAGGCAAGTGAGTTCCCACCCACAGGGGGTAACCATGGAGGAGTCTCTGGTGGTGAGGGACTTGTTGCCCCCCTAGGAGTAAAATCCTCCTCCCCTGTCTCAGCAGGGTCTTGTACCTGATTTTTGTACCCCCAAGTGCCACAGAGGCATCATGCTCTGATGGGGGGTTGTGCCCAATGAAGTCAATCCACATTCTCACTTTTTCCCTTTTTCCAGAGGTTCTTGGCTGCAAGAGCAGAGGCCAAGCTCCTCTCTTACCACATGGGACACAGGAGTTGACTTTAGCTTCTTTGGCTATTGATAAACTGCAGGGAATTGTCCTCCCTGCCAGAAACCCAGCCAGCACTCAGCAAAAAATGGGGATGGATCCCCATGGCATAACTTGTTCAGCTCTGGGACTGCTGGGATCTCTGCTCCCTTTGAGCTCTGGGAGGGTAGGACAAGGCTCAGTCACAGCTCTGACCACCCTCCTCCTCTTCAGCCCCTGGGAAAAGTGATTCAGGCAGCTTCAGTTCTGTAGATTTGAATCCTCCTCCTCCAAATTTTTGGGAAGTGGGTGGAGTTGGCAGCTCTGCCCTGGAGAACTGATTCAGATTATCAGGTGAGCTGCCTCAGCTCTGTGGGACAGAGATGGGAGAGCCCCCCTTTACCGGGTTATTTGTGCCGTTTGTAACGACCCATACAAAACACGGGGGCCCCAAGATTGCATTTCCAGGAATGTTTTAGATCTGGTTGGACACCCAAAGGCACCTGCAGAGCCGACCCCCGCCCTGCAGAGACACTGCTGGAACTGCCCCGAGCAGTCGGAGCCCTCGGGCCCCGGGGCTGTGCAGAGCCGCGGGGCTGCAGCCGCTGCCGAGCGGGGCCGGGCTGTTCCACAGCCCAACATCGCCCTCTTTTGTCCTCTGGCTGCGGGAGCGCAGGGACTGCACAGCCCGGATGGATGGATTGGGGCTCCCTCGGGGGTGGCAGAAAGGAGCCTCGCAAAATTCAGCAAGAGCTGTTTCCCCGTGTGCTTTCCTTTGTAGGCACTGCCCACATCTCAGCCAGGAACAAAAGCACAGAATCCCAGGATGGCTTGGGCTGGAAGGGACCTTAAAGGCCATCCAGTGCCACCCCCAGCCATGGGCAGGGACACCTTCCACCAGCCCAGGTTGCTCCAAGCCCCATCCAACC